GTAAAAGTGTAATAAGAAGAGATTCGTAGGTCGAATTCACCGGAATTGAGCCGCTAATTCGCGTTATCCTGCAACTATTTAGCTTTAATACACAAGTTTGCCCGACGCGGTCTATATAGCATCCTCTCTTATTTCGAGTTAGAACGAGCAGAGCTTTTGTCCGTCATGATATTGGATGGACATGGTCAGAGCTGGAAGCCATTATTGTAAAGTCATCCTATCAACGCCAAGCCAAGAAAGCCGACCTTCTTTATTTTTCCTTCGAGATTCACATTTCCCTGCAGCCCAACGGCCCTCGTGGCAATTTGACCCAGTGGTTAACATCTCGAGGTTATGCCCTGCACCAGCATGATTCGAGTCCCGCTGGGGGTGCTGATGAAGCATAGACTTGGTGGAAACTAACGTCTACTTCTGCCTGTATGAGAATGACTTTTGGGAAGCAAGGCTAGGTGGAGTTCAGACGAAATGCAGGGTCTACTCATATCATTATGGGAAAATTCAACTACCAGTCCTTCTTCACTTTAAACGAAATAGGATGAACACACCTCGTATATCCGTCTCTATCCTACATGATACATATACTCAAAATTGAAACCGAAACTATTTTAGATATAGAACTAAAATATAAATAGAGTAATGGGCATGAAAGAGAGCTAATCAAATAGTTATTTTGGTATCCGTCTATCTATCTATTTATATGTACACACTCTCATTGTTAGTTAAGGGTATATGTTGTATGTAGGATAAAGCTGGATAGGCTTGTTGATTTGATGTCAACTTGAAGCTTCTGTAAGTATGAGTTCCAACTCTGGCAATGCACATATTATGATGGGAACCATTTGAACCCATCCATCTCTTCGTTTTGCATTTATGTACAAAATGCAATTCTCCATAATAAACTTGTATTTTTCGTTGATTATTAACCTTTTAATCTCGTAAACCTAGTTAAAAACGAAAATATTGGGGAGATACCATAACTGTTTAGCACACGTTTTGTCAAAGGATTGGCTTCACTTGTCTCTTTGACGAGTTGTATTATGCTGCTACGAATGGTAAAACTCACTGACGATGCCGACTTCGATGCCGGCGAAACGTCTGGCAATGTACCACGTCCACGGTCCGACTTTGGAAATGATGATGCAAGGTGCGTTGCTCTAAGTCTTCCTACCAATGTGACCAAGTTGTGAAAACAAGGTCAAACAACCTCTATACAACAAAAAGAGACTGTGACCACACAAAAGGCCACACCATTTTGGTCTTCATATCTTCGAAAATATTCACATTTTCATTATACTTCATTTCCTGTAGAAATCTATTAGTCAATTGCATTTCAATGAGTTTGTGTCAAATTTTTTGGCTGAAGAAAAGCTTCATAGTCCGAGATATGCAGATTTGCAGATTTGGTCGTCCTGACTTTCTCCGACTGACGCAATCCTCGATGCCAACAACGACTGACGACCAGTCGTGGTCGGCTCAACTGCCAGATTCTAGCACCGGCTCGAGCTTGACCGAACATTGTTACACAGCGTCAGTCACTTCGACTCCGTCGAGATGTCCAACGGGCTGTCTGGTACCGTCGGTTGGGAACAAATTAACGCGTCCTCCTGTCTTCTTCACCAAGCCCTACTCGCAACGAGGCCAGTCGGCCAAAGTGGCTTTTTGTGCCTGCTTTTACGAGGCCCTCTTCGAGACGGCCACAAAAGTCTTGGCCAATTTAACAGACCCGCCCACTCAACTCACCCCGCACGTGGGTTTGCCTCCTTCCCAATAGGCCCGGCTGTCCGGCTGTTCGGCTGTCCGGCTGTCCGGCTGTTCGGCTGTCCGGCTACCTGCCCAGTGACCCCGTCAGACGTGAGCACAAGTTAAATGATGGCCGGGTTGGGCGAGGAGGGCATGTCAAAAGCTGCGGTATTTTGGATGTCTGTTTCATTTCTCCCTCGGGACCGGGACCGGGACCGGGACAGGACTCGACTTCTGACAAGAGCGTCTTCATTTATGACGTTTATGCTTGACGCGCGCCCAATTCTCCAACGCTTTTGGCTCAGCCGCTCTTTTTCAGACATAAATTTTATAACCCTCTTTGGCAACACCATTCGTAGGCATTCGCAACGTCCCGATTGGCGTGGCAACTTGAGATGAGATTAACGTTGCCAGCTCGGTTGAAGATGTTTAGTTGACCTGCATCCGAGCGACAGCTCAGCTCCGTAGCCCACCAGTCACCACCACCGCCACCAAACCCTGTCTTGCGCAACTGTAGACCAACCTGAGAGCCAGACAAAGTGGAAGTTAGCACATCGGCTACTTTATTTCGTCCTGAATGACAGGAATCGAGCAGTCGACGAAGTGTCAAAACGGACAATTTCATCATTCAACACACACTCTTACAAACACATTTGGTCTGAGGCCCACTCTTGGTGCTGGTGCTGTGGGTGGGCAGATGAGAAAAACCTGTTGGTGGCCTCGTTGCCAGGGCTTGGAGGAGACATAAGCCATTGCTATTTGAGTTGTTTGCACCGCAGTTCGTTTAAGATGAGGAAGTCGACTGGACATTGAATTCTCCCACAAAGAAATGAGTAGAGCTGATGTTTTCCATCCAATTTCACACAGACTTGCTTTGCCAAAATTGTGTTCTCATTCAAACCCCAGTTGGTGTCTTATCGGCACCCACAACGGGAGTCGAAACATGACAGTGCCGTGTGTAATCTCGACACGTTAACCACTCGTTGCCACAGTGCCACGAGTGCACTTGGCTCACAGGACAGATGTGAATTTCAAGGACAGGCATTTTAGGATATCACCTTTTTCAGTGCGAGTCTCGACGAAGCAAAGTTATATTTGCTATGACAATCGAATATATTACTTGTTGAGTTTGTTTGACCTTGTTTTCGCAACATGGTCATGCTGGTTGGGAGACTTAGAGGAACGCACCTTGTCCGGAGTCCATTGTCTGCATGATCACTTCCAAAGTTGAGCCGTGGACATGGTACATCGTAGTCGAAAGGGGAGATACCACAATTGTTTAGCACACGTTTGGTCAAACAATCGGCTTCACTTGTCTCTTCGACGAGTTGTTGTGTGGTGCTAAGAATGGCGATACTCACTGACGATGCCAAGAAACGTCCGGGAATGTACCAAGTCCACGGTCTGAATTTGGAAATGATGAGGCAGACAATGGACTCCGGACTAGGTGCGTTTCTCTAAGTCTTCCTACCAACATGACCATGTTGTGAAAACAAGGTGAAACAAACTCTATACAACGAAAGGAGACTGCGACCACACAAAAGGCAACACTATCTTGGTCTTATTTTTCATAAGATGTATTCACCCAATTTCGTTTTAAGGTGATGAAGGACTGATAGAAATAGAGTTTTCCCACAAATAATATGAGTTGAGCTGACGTTTCCATTGAATTTCACATAGTCTTGCTTTCCCAAAAGTTGTTCTCA